CGAGGAAAGGTGTGAGGAGGTGCTGGTAAGGGTTGAGGAGGGGAGGGTGGCTCTTTTAAATAGAGTGATCTGGCCAAGATTTCACTGAAAACTGATCTGGGCGACATCCCCATAAGATAAACCATATTGTTATCCTCACAGTTATCCTTCACAGATGAAGAAACTGAGGCTTAGAATATAAAACCTTTTTCTCAGGAGATCTATTATTAGCTACTCATATGTTAGCCTATCTTTTCCTGAAGTATTTGCATGTAACTTTTTTCCTAGCAGTAGAATGCAAAGCAAGTTGTACATAGTAAAGGAATTTTAACACCAAGGGCCGAGCTGAAGGTCTGAGGGAAGGGGAGAGATTTTTTCTCTCAGGGCTCCTACAATCCTGATGCCTTAGTTGGCCGGTCCTAGTCGCTCTCTTGATCTACAACAAACCTCTGCATGATGCTAGGCAGGGTTCTGTGGCCAAACAACAGATTTTCTGTTGTTGTTGTTATCTGAGCCAACTTTTATTTTAAATAAACTTCATTTTTTAGAGCAGTTTTAGGTTCATAGCAAAATTGGGCAGGAAGTACAGACAGTTCCCCTGCGCTCACACGTGCACTCTCTCCTCCACTACGGACATCTCTCTACAACAGACTTTTATTTACAAGTTAACTTCTTCCCTACACTGCTCCTTTCTCAGAAATCAAATCTGGGCCAAGGTTCCACTAGTATTGCCCTCTGGATCCCGTGCCTGGTCCTACAGAGGAGGTCTGCGGACGAGCGGGACGCACAGGCCAGGGCCCCGCGCCGCGGTGCTGCAGCTGCGCTGGCCGAGGGCCGTCCCCGCCGAACCCTGTCAGCACAGACAACCTTCCTCCCGGCCAAGCCTATGAATTATTTTCTAGGAATCCCTTAGCCCTGGATTTCCCCTTTTGCTTTTTACTTTCTCATCCTGCGTTGGCTCAGCTTGCCCTCCAGACTTGCCTAAAAACTCCCTATCTGTTGTTGAGGTTTGAATAAATTTTCATCTGCCGCGGTGGCTGAGTCACAGTTCATGTCACTCCCAGGCACGGCTCCACACTGTCTTCAGCCAGCTGCCTGCCCCTCCCGCCTAGGCTGAGAGGAGCAGCGACCAGCCAGACACCCACACCTTCAGGCGGAGCCACTTCTGAGAAGCAGTGAGGTGGAAATGTGTCATTGCCAGGGCGGCGGGAAGGAGGGGCATGGGGAGGGGGAGGGGGAGGGGGAAGGGGAGGGGGAGGAGGAGGAGGAGGAGAAGGAGATTAACAACGTTTCACGCCGGGAAGGGGAACCCAGAGCAACCTGTAAAGCGCACTTCCCGGGCCGGGCCGTGCTGACTTGTCCTGATGTTACCTCCAGAGTTGCCACCAACATCCAGCCGCCCACAAAAATGCCTGCCCCCTGCTAAGCCTTGTCCGTCATCCTCGGTTGACCCATTTAACCCACTTCCCAAGAAGGGGGCAAAGTAAAAAGCAGATAAAACACAGGCTTTGAGCCGA